GGGGTATATTTTATTAGTAGTAGATATCGAGTTCCAAATAGTTTGGATATAAATGTAACATGTCACATCAATATTGGGTCTTTAGGCCGTAAGATCCTCGACTATTTGTTCAGGATTTTACATTATTTAAAAAATGTGATTGTTTTTCGAAGTATAACTTGGCAGGATTCCAGGTAAATAAAAGTTATTAATCTAAAATTTAAACGGCTATTGATTTTGGCGTGTTTTCCAAGAAAAAAACTTGGAAAGCGCAAAATTCACAATTTCAAAAAACTGATGCAGTTTTTAAAGCAAATGATTTAAGAAAAATTAGATGAACGTCTAATGCATAAAAATTGAAGATAAAAATGTTTGTGAAATTCATATTCATGTGTGTTCAATGTGTTTTGGCTAAATTCAATTAGTAACGGCACTTAAAATGCAAACCGCATTAAAACATTTACAGTCTTTTGCGGTAGTCATTCATGTCATATTTATCGACTTTCGGTAACGCCTAAAAATAGATTCAGTTATGCGAACATAATTTGCATTCATTCTTTTTTTGATAAATTGAACTTATCTTTAAACCTTCACTTAACGATTTGTCACTAGTGCGAATATTAATTTAAAAGTTGCTGAATTTGATTTGCGATTTGCCATTAACTTGATTCATTTCACTAATGGGAAGAGTTAATGAGAAAAATGGTTAAATGAATAATATTTGAATAAAAAAATTCTTAAAATATGATGGTAGAATTGAAAACTTACAAATCCCTGACCTGGCACATACACAACGAAAATCGAAAATGCCAATACAACTTCTGTTGTAGACATTAGAAGAAAAACGGAAAGGCTAATAAGTAAAAAAACAGCATTGAAACTTATTAAACTAAAAGTTAAACTCTAGTAAAATAAAATATTGTAACAAATATTAATGAATAATTAAAAATAACGAAGGAAATTTGGCTAGTACCATACCATCAAAAGTTGCGTAAATCCAATGCCCTAACTATACATATAGGGTGAATCAAGTTTTAAACAAACGATAACTGCGGTTGACAATTTATTTTAGGAAAAATATTAATGTATTCTAAACGCAAAATGACGAGTGGAAAATTGTTAGTACATTTTTCAAATTATTTTGAACATCTGTCGTATATGTAAACTTCATAAAAAACTATTTTAACAAAATATGAGGGTGTTCACCTAATTAATTAATTAATTGATTAATTATTAATAAGTCAAGCTTTCGCGGGTTTCAGTGTCAATATATGAATGATACTTTTGCAAATTTGCAACAAGAGAATTTTCTTTGAGCTGACTAAAGTGAGAACACAATGAGGTACTTTAACCTCAAGCATTTCGAAAATTAGTCACATCTGACCAAGCCAGGTTTAAATATCTCTTATGGTCTTCACATCTAACATCTTCTGTACCGTTTACCACAAAATATCCTATATGCTATAGACGAGAATCCTGACTATGACGCAAGACAGGAGCTCTTGGTATGTTAAAAAGTTAATACCAATACGCATATAAATTTAAGTGACGGTGCATTAATTAATTCGAGTTTTCAAAAATTGTGTGGAAAAACCAACGGATAAAATTCCGGTTAAACATTGCATATTACATCAGTTTAAAAACATTGAAAGCCTATCATTGACTTCCAGTCGGCTCTTAATTCAAGCTTGTAAAGCAAGCAACAATTATTTAACATTAAATCTACAACTTACCTTGTAAAAGGGCCCGCGATGTGGCCGCTTGAAGGTGAGGTCATAAGTACCTTCTTTGTCCATTAGGAGATCTTTCGATTGAAAGTTAATTTTTCAAACCCACACTTTTCACATTGTAGATCACCTTTAAGCCTGCAATTGAAACATTTATTCATTCAACATTTTACAAAAACTGGAGTTGTTTTATTGCGCACTTTCACCCGGTAAAATATAATTTATTGACCTACAGAAATAATGAGGCTTGAACACCCTGTATTATAAAAACTACTTGCCACCTACAAGGTTCAAATAGGTAAGAGGCAAAAAACCTGTTCTTTACTATGAAAAACTAAGACGCAGGCCAAAATAATAAATGGGTGTAAGTGAAAGATAAATGTTACTAAAAAGGTTCGAGCGAATTTAAAATGGTTGGTGACATCATTGATATTATTTAACATTAACAATACCATGAAGATTAGAGTACAATGGAGGCAAAGTATAATTGCGTTTAAATATTTTCAAACATGAAGCGTTTACTTGGCAAATAGCAGAAAGTGTTTAGTACAAAATTAGGTATTTTTAATAAATACCTGAGTATGTCTTCTTAAGTTGTAGACAATTCTAAGGAAACTGGATAGGTATTCTTTGTATAGCGTTCTAATGGAGCCATAAAAAATATCAGTATTGAGAAAAAGTTGATCGAAAGTACACACCTTCAAATATCCAATTTACGGAACGACGAAATGATCATTTAAAATAAATTTAAACTCGGATGACATTATATGGTTAAATATTAATAGCTTCTTCACACATCATTAATATATTATTCAAAGATCGCTTAAGGTGGAAACATAATAAAAATAAATAGTTGCCTAACAATCCATAGTTTCATTGCACGAGTTTTATCACAGAACTCACAGAAAAATGTCTCACATAATTTATCAACTTCCCTTGATAGCATCACTTACAGCTTGATATTTAAGGAAAATAATGTTTTGTGCAATGAAAGTAATATAAAACGCTATTTATGTAGCGCTTCTTCAAACTATGACTTTAAAACATAATTCTTTAAATCAAATTATATTAATTTTGAAACTCGTTACATTACACTAATTTGTAATTATAGGAAATTTTCGATATTAAAAGTTGGTTTTTTAGAACATCAGTATTCGGTGCATTCTACTAGCATTAGAAGCATCATGTAAGAAAGTACTTTAAACCATCTTGTGCGTTGATCCGTTCAGATCATTTTTAATTTATCGGAAAAATTCTAAGAACACTCAGGTGCTTAGTGAGGAAAAATAAAAATAAGCCTGGAAAAAATCCGGATGATAAAAAAATGAGCAAAAAACAAGAAGATAAAGCGGAATCGCTTTATCTTCTTGTTGGATGAAGGCCCGAACTAAGAACAGTTTTATAAAAATGAGAAAATCTTTTCAATAAATTAATTACATACACATATGAATGTACTGTTTTTATTTATTTGACAACGGTATGTGACCTTATCATTAATAAATTTATAAGAGCAACATTCTTTTCAATTTTAAATGTCAGGGCCGATTGAATAAGAAAATATACACAATTTAAGAATTTTTTGTATAATGCTGGTAAGTAATTAATCTAGTATACATTTCAAAGAGTTCAGTACATTTATTCACTTTTGCAGAAATTAGCTATATTTATTTTATTTATTTGCATTTTAAGTCATTCATGGCTTATTCCCAATGTATCCTTTTATAAAATTAGTATTATGCGTTCAATGAATAAAATCCGATAATATAAAACAGTTTTTGTGAGCCAAACAACTTAAAGCAGGTAGACGATTATATTTGCCATTAATCCCACTTGTTTGTAGTGATATAAATGTAAATACAGAAAAACTTACCTCATTTTTAATATAAAAATTATCCCACAAGTTCTCACTGGAATTTCATATTGTTCATTGCTGTCTGTTTGAAACAGTTATACGAGAAATCGAGAGCACGATCTATCCAGGTGCGATGTAAATATATGTACATTTATATGAATTTTAATCAACAAATCGATTTTTGTTTACAAAGCCGGCACAATATTTACCGCTGTCAACATCTAAGCAAAGAGGCGAATAAAAAAACGCATCCGAATGCGACCAATTTGATTCAGCTGATGCACGTGCCTAATTATTTTTTCTTCTTCATTTCTATATACGAAAAACAACAACAAACGCTGACTCATACTTAAAAATAAAAGTTCATATAATATTAAAATGTAGTCTGCTCGTATCGCGAAAACATAATAGGTGTTATCATTTTTTGAAGCTTTACAAGCTGCCCTGTTCGACTACAGAGGCATGCGTTTAGAGCAATCTTTAGCAGCAGTTTTTTCCGGTACATTACCTCATTTTCCAGGCACATTTCCACCGAGAAAATCGAGTTTTTCAATGTTGACACGAAACTGAAAATAATGTCGAACTGGTCGATAAAGGGGAATTTGCATTTTCCGTTGAATGTGTGGCGACATCCAAGAAATATCCGTGGAAATGCAAAGGAAAATGCTGTTTAGAATGTTGATTTCCTTGAATAAAAAGGCGAATGAAGCAAACATATTTAGCAACACAAAGGATTGTTTGGAGAATGAGAGTTAATGTTTTGTGTTTCAAAATTGTCTAATAAACAAGTAGATTTGCTCAGACTGTTCCTCTTTCTATAACTATAGATACTTAGTATCTTTAGTATAGTATTAGTATAAATGTTTTTTTATGTTCAAAGCCATTATCAGATTTAAACTTAAGTAAATTGGGTACTAACCAAGGGTAGGGCAATAACCCTGCATATGAATCACCGTTATCAGCATATGGGGGTCAGTCAAAGTAGTAAACAAATATTATTCATAAACAAAATAGAAAAATGTAAAAAACCCCATTTTAAAACTCAACATTTTTGTAGATTGATACATTGTAGAGTAATGTGTTTGTTTAGGAGAAATTTTGTCCAGTAAAAAGTAAATAAAAACATGTTTTTCATTGACTTATAATGACCGCTAAATAAATCACTCAATACATTTTTATTTAAATAAAGTAACGGAAAACAAAAAATGGAAACAACAAACCGTAATTAAATTAAAACGGCTTACGACTTGCTTCGAAAATATTTGAAGAAGAGGAGAGAGTTTGAATCTAAAATTTAGATCATCGTGTTTATTCTCAAACGTGGTGGACCATAAATTGGAAAAAACAAGACCTCGAACAAACGTTTATATGAAATATAAACTTCATGTCTTTTACAATGCTTCCCAATACTCAAGGCCTAGTTTTCAGTGTGTTGATTTAACTGGTTTCAAAATTTGCAAACTTACTAATCGACAAAAAATAAAGAATTCTTGTATGTGTGCATTGAGAATAACGATTTAATCTTGCATTTTTGAGAAAATCCAGAGTCTGGATTCGCAACATCCATATTTCTGGCGCCTTCTAGTCGACCCCGTCGTTTCTCTTCTTTAATGACTGGAATATTGCGCATTGAGGGGTGAAACCCTGTACTTGAATTGGATTTACATATTTTCTTTCCTAAACTTATCGATATTAGTTGGAATTATTAAAACATTCCAGCAAACAGAGCAATTGACAAATTTAATGTTACTTGCGAACTACTCAATTTGAATAATTCTGCAGTAATAAAGTCTTTAATTAAAGCGGCTTTCAATATCAGAGAACAGGTGTTCTTCACCCAGTTCGCAGGACAAAATTTCGGAAAGTAATGATTTTTGGCTGATGCGTATATGTAAGCAGAAACTTCTTATGTGGTGTTTATCTCGCGAAAACTGGTCCATCCAAACGATAGTGAACAAACCACCGAACGAACGCAAAACAACGAATCCTTCAAATAATGTTTTTATTTGAATTATTATTTATTTGTAAGCAGAATTTCGAAAAAGGGTGCAAGTAGTAGATAGTGGTAAAAAAGTGAAGTGAAAAAAAAATGTCGGAAATCAAATTTTATAACAGAAAACTAACAATAGGCTGGTTTCTGGTGATGGTGGCGAATTTCGTAAGTATTTCAAGTGTGTGCTTGCATTTCTAAGAAAGTCTAATTAGTAAAAATTTGGGCAAATACCCCAAAAAAATATATTTATTATTATTATTATATACTTAGCTTATCAGTTTGCCTTTTGCAGTTGTTTGGCGTTTCCGGTATAATAATTTGCAGTTTGAAACTGCGAAATCTCGAAAATGAAGATTTTCAAATGGGCTTCTTCAAATTATCCATGGGATTTGCTGTTTGCAATTTGATCCTGAGTGTTCTTCTTTTAGTATCCGTACTCAAGGTAAATTTAATTTAAAAACGTTTCTATAATATTTTAATAATTATAAAAAGTATACAAAGTTTTCTAGAATTATGTCCGTTTTTCTATTGCATATTCTTTCAGAGAGATCAGAAATATGCGTTTTTATATGCTCTGCTAATATTTTTGAGCCTCTTTGCTGCCACCATTCACATTGAGAGCAACACCCACAAAGATCTGACTTTTTTGATAATTTTCATCGTTTTTGGTAAGTAATACATCAAAAGACATTCCTGAATTAACTTTTGAAAATACCGCAAAATATGAATTATATATACATATAAATTTTCCAAAATGAACGTTTGATGAATGAACAAAAGTTTGAATATGAAAACTCTCCACAAACTTCATTTAAAAATCAAATCGACAATTTGTGCGTTTAGTTCAGAGTGTTTTGCTTAATTATAAAACATAATCAAATTAACTTAAATGAGAAGATTTTCAGGCCATAATTTTCTGCGGGTTTGTGATATATTGATTGAATTTTGATCGTGTAACATACAGAGTGTATGTTACACATAAAAGATAGAATTATAACATGAAAATGTTCAATTAAGTGTGACAACACAAAACAACTAACAACAAGATACATAAAATTAATCATAATAATCATATCATATAATAATTAATCATACAAAGATACTAACATTAATAATTGTAAACAATGTGAAATGTCTTACCAGTCTTTTACGTCTTCAGATGGCAGATATCCACTGTTCTCTGGTGTTCTACTCGTTTACTATTCTACTGTTTACTTCACCTCGTCTTCTTGGAAGCCACCATTCCAGCTTTAACTTGGCCTCTCTAGCTTTCCTTTTTTTACATGATTTCATTCTTGTTTCCAATACACATCTATTTTGTTTCACTAATGTTCGACTTTACCAGTCGCACTTAATCAACCGCAATATTTTTTTCCATTAAGCAAAGGCACATTTGAGACACATTTTAAATAATGTCGGGGAAAGTAATAAATACAAGAGCATTGCTTAAGTCCTTTTGAGATCGGTATACCGCTTGATCATTCCTACACATTTGCGTTTAATTTCTCTAAAATCTTTCCATATAGCTTTAAATAAATTTCAAGTTTGCAAACTTCGAGAACGCAATTTCAGAAAATTTACAAACTCTGTGTTTGTTCCCGTCTAATGAGCATATTTTCTAAAAAGTAATCCAAACGCATATTTAAAGTAAATGATGCCAAATTTTAATCGTCCATCGTCCATCCTTACATACGCTTTCCATTAGTGAATTATACATGTTATAGAGCCTAATTAATGTTATTTCAATTTATTTCCAGCTGCTTTGTGCTTTCTGTGGTTCTGCGTATACGGCTCCTATCACATATGGCTCAAAGACAAGATGACTGAAACTGAAGCTACAATAGTCTGACTTACCCTCAATCAAACGAAGCTATTTTTACAGCACTTAAGGCCGCTTAAGGACCCGCTAATAGTTTGTTTAACAAATCGTATATATAAGAAGTCGCAAAAATTGTGTCTATTAATGGAACATAAACTGTCGAATAAAATACCTCGAAATTACTGGGTATTTTTGCACTTAGCTATATTGCTTTACCAAACACTAGTCACATTGCAGATAATGAAAAATGCGTTTACAATAACAGAAAATGATTTTCACAGTAAATACAGATTTCAGTTATGATTCATAAGAAAATAAAGCTGGTGTGCATTAAACGGTAACACGAATTGAGTTAATGTGTCGAAATTAAACATCAGCTCAAATCTGAGCGGACTTTTGTAATTTAACTGTATTAATATAAAAAACATATAAAACAATGAAGCTAAAATTGACATTTCCCTATAAATAAAACCACACTTTTACGAGTAATTAAATAAACAAACGGTCGATCAGCAACAAAAAGTGCCTCTGGATCCACAAAGTGTAAGGCAGACCGAAAAGAGAAGGTTGCTAAAACAAAATGATCTCTCATTTAATAAAAACAGTTTAAAAATATGTTTGTGTGTGCAAGTTTTTACTAAAGTGCCGGTTAGAGTTTAATTACATAAATATTAGGACAAATATCAATATTATTTGAAAGCAAACAATTAAGCAGTGAACCCGATTGAGTACACGGAACATTTACAAAACACGTAAGCTGTAGAAGGCTCCAAGAAAACATTGCTTCTTTTGATAATGGGAATAACACATATTTTGCATAAATTCCTTTTAGCAAGTTTGATACACAATTAAATAAAACACATCAGTTTAATGTAATTTAATAAACACAAACATTGCACATATTCACATAGTGTGAATTGTGTAAAAGTATACAAAAACTAATTTTTTACAACTCTGCCTCCAAATGCGACTAATCCATTAACATGGATGTAGTAGAAAAATGGGTGATCAGCGTAAAATTCCTTCCGCTCTAGTGGATATAGAGAGTAGCCACTCAATCTTACTGAAAATTATAACAAAAGTATATTGAACTGCATTAGTTTCCGTTGTGTACCAATCAAATGCACATTCTTCATAGCCATTCGAACACTATATCTACCTCCATAATGTATTCAGTACATAAATGTTTCTATTATTAACGTTCTTTTAATGCTTCCAGAGTACTGGCTTGTAGTAGCTCCTAACCAGCTTTTTACAAGGATTATGATATAAGTTCTACAACAGTTTAATACATACTATTTATTACCTACTTAGTTGGTCCCTAAGTTCTATTTAAATTATCAGCCTTTTGTAAAAAAATACTAGCAGCAATGTTGACTATAACTTACGAATGTTTGACTTTGCCAATAAACAAAATCAATTCGTGAATTTTGATATAGTAAAAGAATGGATGGTCAGCTGTAAAATATACGACCGGAGTACTGTAAATAGGCGCCGAAAGTAGCAGTCCATATACTGAAAAGAAAACCGATTAAATTAGTGATTAAGCGCAGTCTGAGAGAAGACTGAGATTTACAAAAAATTGTTAAAACGTCTGTTACCTCTACATCTATCTTTCACTCCATCACCATAAGATTATCCATAAAATGTTTCAGTTTTATTAAAACTATGTATGTAGTTTTCCAAACTATGCAAAATGTTGTTAAATAAATGTACGGTGTTAACTACATCAGCGGTATTTAATATTTTATACAAAGCAACTTCAGTAGAGAGTAATTGAAAAATCCTCAATTATTGAATATTTGCATTTCCAAAAAAGTTTTTTATTTCAAAGTAGTTATTCAATTATTTTTTTATTATTTAGGAATTGATTGATATAGATAGACCATGGGTTGAGCAAACAAAATCTAATATAAGAAACACTGTAAACACGTTCCTTTAATAATAAAGGGCAAAAAATATGAATAACGGTCTCTTTGCAGCTTCCTTATTTTAGCACGAGTAAGAAAAGCCTCAAACTATCGCTAAAGATTCTAAATGTCGTATCAATGGTCAAACTATTATTAATATAATGCAGAAAAAATTGTTTTTTGAATTCATTTGTAAAGAATAAAAATTCTTTACACTTACCTGTTGTTTTTAAATAATCATTATACGTTCACTGGCTCTTACATTTATACCTTTAAAACCGCTTAGGTGTGGATTTTCCTATGTAATGTAGGAGCTGTAGAGCGGTTTTTCTGCTAATTTATTAACCGCGGTCAGGGCTTTATTAGACACAATATTTTTCCCCGGCAAACGAACAAACATATTTCTTCTTCATTTTCGTCAGTCCTTTGCATAATGAATTAGTGCATTTTTACATTCATATTTCAAGGAATATTCGTATGCATTATGCTTTAATACAAACTAGTTGCATAACCAATTATGATCATGTAATAGTTCATAAAAAGAAATTCTCACTTTCATCATTTCCTTTGGGATTATTTAGAGATGATCTAATAACTCAACAACAAAATGCGCTTTGTATTCTCTGAAAGAAGCACTTAACAACATGAGTTATTGTCCTGTACCTAAATAACATGCAATAAAATAATACTGCCTGGGCGCAAATAAAAACTAAATTATTGATTATACGCCGTAGCATTTAAAATTGTCATTAAGTGGTCGAGTGATTGGTATATCGGCCATTATAGTAACCTCGCTAGGCCCTTGTATGGGCAAGGGCCTTCTTTTTGGAGGTGAAAATTTTTGCCAGTTATTGATTAATCAGGTCTCAAATTTCAATCGGGATTTGAATTTTTGCGTCGCATTTCCTATTCGGGAAAGTTTAAGGTCGCGATATCAATACAGTGAACACTTTGAATGCTAAATCGTAAATGTGAAGATTTAAGATCGGCTAGTTGTGGCTGGTTGTAGCGGCATGCAAAAACCGTTGGAATTTATGCAAAATTCGATTGAAACAGACGCATTGCGGCATTTTCTAATCAGGCTTCCAAATTAGCAAAATCTATTGGGTAATAGCCCATTGTTAAAACCTCAAGCATGTGGCTAACCGATATATTGGCGCTCGCTTTTGAATTAAAAATTCAATGTATAAAAAGGTGATTGTTTGGTCATTGATATATTTAGAAGTCGGCAAACGACCGGTCATCGCTAAATATTGCAAATTTCTTGAATAAATATTACGACACTATCGACACCTTAATATTGGTTTTTGTTTTTGCGTAGTATTCAATATAAAAAAATTAAACATTTGCTTATTGTCCGATTACTTCATTTCTTTCTTAATTCAATAATTGGCTTTAAAGCAGTCCGATACATAAGATGCTTTGCAGAATAAATAACGGCGCGAAAAAATTTAGATCCACATAAAGTCCTCGTAAAATTATAAAAAGTGCTACCGCATTTGAAATAAACCGGAATACGTAGTTTCATGCAAAAATTTACTAATTTCCACGCTTTTAAAAATGTCAAACAACCCACACCTTATATGCGATTATTATAAAGTTTTTGATATAATTTATGGAAAATCTTAGTGTTTTTGTTTCAACAATAGGTAGTTTGGCATCGTAGCACTAATTATGGGACGCCCTATATAGGTATAGAAATATTATTGTTCAACCACAAAAATGCCGTTATAAGCATTTATTGAATAGCACATGATGTAAAAATGATGATACTTTTATAAGTTAACGCATTTAGACCAGCTCTACTATACTTCCTCTCTTAAATCTAGAAAAAGTAATTTATTCAACAAATTAGCAAATAGGTATCACACCATTCTTCACTAAAACATTCAATTAACACCTAGACGTTATTAATTTAGGAAAGAATAATTTTGCTTTGACTGTGTCATTATGCATCAAAATTAATTGCCCGAATGCTATTAAAACATTTCTATTTAAAACCTTTCCTATAAAAAAACATGCAACTATTCTTCTCATATTTCTTTGTGCAAAACTATCCAATGACTTCACGTTTATTATATTACTTCCCAGAAAATCCTGTTTATTTCTTTGTTGTTATTTTTACTCGAAATGTCTAGATTAATTAGGCTCGATGCGATGCCCGCAGGTGTGTCTGTTAAACTATTTTATTGTTACATTATACGTTGTTGACTTTTCAATTAGTGAAAACATAAATAATAGCAAGCGTGCTCGCGTCAAAACACTAATGGTAGAAATAACGCAATGCGAATTCTTTTATCTTGTTTATGCATTATAGCTAATCGGTTTTTAATTGTGCCTAATTTTTTTTGTCTAATACTAACTTTCACCATTGTATTGTAAGGTCAACAGTTATGGCCTGAGAAACAGTCAGTTATATAAAAATATGTTCAACAGATAACAAGTTATGTAGTCGAATACACGTGAAAATTAATATTTTCAAGATGAGAGGACGTTTAATGATCATCCCTGAATTTTCTACAGTAATTAGATGAGTTACTATGTTGAATCAATGTAAAATTTAGGTACTCATAAAAGAGTGAGAACCTTAATGATAGGATGGAAGAAGGCACTGAACGGTAGAGACTCAAGGATTGACCTCAAAATCCGAATCATTAGGCATTATCTACTCTCAATCGTCTACTATGAAATGGAAAATTGATTAACGAATAAAGCAGATAGTAAAGACTTCGAAAGCTTCGATATGTGAAAGTACAGACGCATGTGGAGGATACTTTTGTAAGGACAGTCACAAATATGACAACTTCAATAAGCATCATAAAAGAGATGGAAGTGATATTAATCAAGAAAACGATAAAAATGCAGTACTTGGGATACTTTGTGAGAGGAAAGCAATATCAGCTACTCAGGCTCATAATTAAAAAATATGAAGAAAGCCCTTCTAGCCTTATAAACCGAAAAGTTGGTCCAATAGCAACAAGCAATTGTCTCTTCCTGTTCTCTTTTTCTCTATTAGCTCTAAACCTTCGTCTGAGCTTTTGCTACTATTCTGACTTCAGCTTTTGTACTAAATTGTTAACGTCTTGCTAGTGGTACGTACACACCTGTTGCGCTTCTGAGTTTAAATTTATAATAATAACTTCCTATTCAATCCATGACGGTGGTTCCCTTGATAGCTCTTAATGATTTAATTTCTGTCGATCTTATTATCAGCATTTTTGTCTGTGTGTCATCATGTCTTATACATGAGTTCTGTGTTAGGTTTTACACAT